TACGGTCGACCGTCATGGTCGACCGCGAGCCATAAAAACAAATAATGAGTTTCTGAACTCATGGCGGTCGACCGTGGCGGTCGACCGCGAACTGATATTATAGAAAACAGGTTTTAAAAGCAGATTTTTGAGACTTTGAAAATATGTTCAAAATTAACAAATAAAGTCCAAAAATAATAAAACTTTGGGAAATGTATATAAACATGTAAATGAACATATTACAAAAAGAATTTTCTAAATTGTATTTCCCATTTGTGAAAATCATCATTTTGCAGAATAGTCCAAAACATAAAAATGTAAACATATGAATTTTGATATTTTGGCTAAACCATGTTTTGAAACTTTACAAAATGATTTTATAGACTTGAAGAAAGATGTAAACTATTGTTATGAAGTCTATAAACAATGAATATAGTATTTTCACAAATACAAAAGAAAATAAAACATATGAAAATATATTTGTTTCATATCTAAGTAGTTAAGCCAAATCACAATAATAAATATGAAATATGTAATATTTGTTTCATATCTAAGTAGTTAAGCCAAATCACAATAATAAATATGAAATATGTAATTTCATATTTATAAACATGAAAACCAAAACTTGTGTTGTATATATATATGACTACATATATATACAAGGAAACTAATAAAATATGTGTGTATATGATATTGAGCTTAGAGTATCTAACATACATAATATAAAACCTAAGCTAGATTATCCAAGCCGATCTTGATCTTCAATATGCTTGACTTGGTACACTATGCGGATGAAGCTTGAACTTGGATCTTCAACTTTGAATTGCAAGTCTTCAACCACTATATCCGCCAACCTCCATTTGATATGATCGTTATGGCGCAATCCATCCAACCTCCAACTACGTTGTTTGTCTATAATACATAGGAAAACACAAACACTAGACAAACAACATTAGGTATAAATTATTTGTAAATCATCATCAAAACAAGAAGGCCAACAGTCGTCATGTATCGATCCCGAATCTATAATAGATGTGTCTGAGATTAATATTAAAAAAGAATGTGTTAGATATTTCTGTTGAATGACTTAATCATATGTATTTAACATATTCAAGATTCAAGATTCAAAGAAGAAGGTTACATATTACAAAAAATGAATGTCACATGAGAACAAGGATTGATATTAGAATGTTACATATTACAAATGTTTGCGTCGAAAATCAGTTTCATTGTTGAATCCATTATAACGTTTACCGTTTACATAGATTCAAAAGAAGGAGCCTTTTTATAAGACTTTTCTTACATGAATAAAAATAAATGAAGACTTCCTAGAAACACACACATGATCATTTATCGGTCGTTGCTTGCGTGAGATCTTTACCTGTGCCGGGGACACTTTAATCCATGGACCGCCGAGTATCAGACCCGGGTTGATCGGAACGAAGGCTCGCTGTTCTTATTTTGTTTTAGATACAAGAACAGAAGTAAATATCTCAATAATACGAGATAAATTCTCTTCTCGAGATTAAAATAACGTTTAATCCCAAGGGAAGGATGAAAAGACTGTAGATCTCTCAAAATCTGCTCTTTATGTGTAGGAATTCACCAAGATCTCACCTCTCCCTCTCTAAAATTTATGGGTTATGCTCTCAAAACGTTAGAGCTTTGCCTCCAAGTCCAAAATTCCAGATCCCCTGTGCATAGGGGCCCCAGGGATGTATTTATAGGCTTCAGATGCTAGGTTTTTGGATAAGATTTCGTGATCTGGTCGTCTCTTCAGTTAGTAACGACTTTACCACGTTTAAGGATGATCCCAAAGTAGTTAGGGAGGTACTGGACAACACGAATCCTGAGATTTTATCAAAAAACATATTTCAGATGAATCTGCCTATGCGAGACATATATCTCTGTCCCGGCCCCGAGACACACTTTTGTGTCTCAGCCTCGGCCCCGAGACACAAGTGTCTGTCTCGGGTTTCAAGACACGTTGGTTGTGTCTTGTTTGTCATTTTGTCGATTTGTGCGCTTTGTTGCTTCTTTGTTCCGTTGTTTTGCGCGTTCCTTTGCTTCCCATTGGCATCAGATGATCTTCTTTGACTCGGATATCGACGTTCTTCGTTTTCTCTTTGTCTCAAGCTGTGTACGGGAACCTATAAGCAATTTTTGATGTCTACAACAACAAATAAATGTCGCATGGGAACAAGGATTAATATTAGAAGGTTATATATTATAAATACGAATGCCACGTAGGAATAAACATTAAAATTAGAAATCAATGCCTAATCCTATATGGACATCTGCTTTTGTTGTGGCCCGGTTGATCACATCTACTATACTTTTTTCCCTCCTAATTCCTTCTTGATCGTCATACATACTATTTCTAATTCGTACGGAACGAGGGCGCCCAACTGATCTTTTATACAAAGGAGGTAATATGCGTGGCCCGTCTTGTGCCCAATGTTGACTATCATATGGTGGACGAAAACACTCTTTGTACGTCTGTTGATAGTTGTAAGTTGAATACCAATCTGTGACAAATTCATAATGTGAAATCCTCACACTACCCTGTAGATCAGAGCAAGTCGCGACAACATGTGAACAAGGAAGCCATTGTAGTTACAGTACATTGCAAGTGCACGTACAAGTATGATCCACTAGCATATTGACTTTGTAAGAGCGACTTTCTAAATTGCCCGCCTACTCTTACACCCAAGCGTGAATTAAGCTTCCAAGGACATTTCACATTGTCGTCATGGTGCCCACCACTATCTTCTTCTTTGTCATCTTCGCGGTAAAAATAAACCACATTATAGCTTGTTGCATTGTTTTTTGTTGATCTAAACTTGACATTTTTTTGTATGGCCCACAAACGAATCGCATGAATCATTTCCCATTACTTTCAAATAGATCCCCCTTTTTGAATGAGAACTCCCACATTGTGTATCATCAACGATATTAGTGCTGATAAGAATACTTTCCATCGTGGAGTTATCAATCCATTCTTCTCCATAAAGTTCATCGGGCGACTGATCATCTAACACGACATACTCATTGTTAGTATAACATCCGTCAATATATTGGTTGTCCCCTTCATCACAATCTATCAAACACATCATGCTATTAACTTGTAAGCCATCCTCTCATCATCATCCTCGGATTCGACACTTGCATTATCATCCTGATGGACCATGTTAGTATCGAAAGCATTTGAAGTGCCCAAATGTGAAGGACCGCTCAAGTATTGTGACTGTGTCCAGCCTTCATCTTGCTGCAGAGATAAAAAGCTGACGGAGTCAACTTCAAGGTCCTCCAACATGCGGGAGTATATTCCGTCGTGATTCACCGATTTGCCCAATTTTCTCTGATGTTTTTAATAAATAATTTCATCGAACGCTTCTCGTGATGCAATACTCCAATGAGACCCATATCATAGTCACTTAAGATTTGAATGTCGCTTGTTCTGTTCTCCACAACAGGATAATTGCAAAGAACATTGAGGTGATACTCACGTGAGTTGGTTAATGTAAATTTGTGTAAGTCATTAACCAATTCATTAAAAGTACACGATTTTGATATAAACAACGGCTTCGTCACACCTCCTTCATAAACATACATATTATTTTCGAGATAGTTAATCTTCCCATCATATGAACAAAGAATTACGATTCGATCATTCATCGTTACCTCTAAAGAGTAAAAAGTTCAATATCAATATTACACGAAAAGCTTAAAAAATGTTACTTACCATTAACTCTCTTATATCGGTTTTAGAAACCCGTAATTTTAACCAAATGTCAAACATTTGTAGTAACACTAACTTTTACATTTTTTGATAATTTTACCTCTAAATACACAAAAGGATTTAATTTTTCTTCACAAAAATCATAAATAATTCAAAAATTATTTCAAAATCTATTTTTTCACAAGTAATCACCATAAAATAGTGAGAATATCAAAAAATTAGGAATTTTTTTTAAAAAGATTTTATCTTAAAATTGTCGATGCCCTAATTTCCGGTGAACTCCGGCGATGACGCCGGTGAGATCGATCAATGCCGGTGAGGAAGATCAACGTCGGGCGACGGTAGGATCGGCGGTGGCGGCGGTGGGGGACGAGGGGAGAGAGGATCTAGGGTTTGGGAACGATGGAGAAAGGGTGGCGTGGGTTGGGTGAGAGCGACTATTTGTCGCGTGGGTTCTGCGCCTTATATAGCTGTTGCCAAACTCCACGGGACTTCAAGTCTTGTGGAGTTGCACGCAACAATTTTCTAGAGAGCTAGCTCTCTGAAAAATGACTCTAACTCGTGGAGTTTGGGCACTTTAACAAATTTTACGGGACTGCAAGTCCCGTGAAATTATTGACGATTTTAATCCATTAACATTAGGCGCTGCTAAACTTCACGAGACTTTTCATAGTTTTTTTTCGTCAAAACCGATCCAATTTCAGCTCGACGGTTGAAACTAGATAGATTTTGACAATTATTTTTAGAATTGATCTTTTTTACGATTTTTTTGATAAATAGAATGGTTTTCAAAATTTGTCCCCCCTCCTACCCTCTTCAAAACCTGTGGGCCCCACCCGGCGGCCTACCGCCACTCTGCCGAGAAATTCGCGATTAATCGCCGCCACCAACCCCCACTTGCTCTCTAGTCAATGTATTCATATAAAATTCTCTCCGTGGAGAGAGAAAACTTCAGAGAGAGAGAGAGAGAGAGAGAGGGTGATGGCGGACAAGTACGGATCAACGCTGCTGTGCGCGCCAGTGATCGCGAAGACAGCGGAGGAGATGGCGGGGGAGATGTCGACGGCGAGGTCTCAGGGCGCCGACGTGGCCGAGCTCAGGATCGATCACCTCACCGTCTTTGAACCGAGGAGGGATCTCGAGCTCCTCATCAAGAACCGGCCCCTCCCCGTTCTCGTCACCTCAAAACCTGTGGGCCCCACCCGGCGGCCTACCGCCACTCTGCCGAGAAATTCGCGATTAATCGCCGCCACCAACCCCCACTTGCTCTCTAGTCAATGTATTCATATAAAATTCTCTCCGTGGAGAGAGAAAACTTCAGAGAGAGAGAGAGAGAGAGAGAGGGTGATGGCGGACAAGTACGGATCAACGCTGCTGTGCGCGCCAGTGATCGCGAAGACAGCGGAGGAGATGGCGGGGGAGATGTCGACGGCGAGGTCTCAGGGCGCCGACGTGGCCGAGCTCAGGATCGATCACCTCACCGTCTTTGAACCGAGGAGGGATCTCGAGCTCCTCATCAAGAACCGGCCCCTCCCCGTTCTCGTCACCTACAGGTATTCAAGGATCGAATTCGATTAGTTTTTTGCACAAAAGTTGTGAACTTTACGTTTTGATTGATTTCTTGAAGAATGTGACGGAGGGAAGCTCGTAATTTAGGATAGTCTCCACAATCACCTTTGAAAATGTCCATACTGTTGTAATTTTAAGGCATAATATTGTTACTACTGGAAATTTGGATACCTGGGTATGTTTTTGTTAGTCTAATGAGTTCTAGAGGAGGTGAGCTTATTGTCCGATCTGGTTATTTTTAAAGTTAGATAGTTACATCCTTGAAACCTTTCAAGGTTTAATTTGATATCTTTTAAGGTATTATACTCCCTGGGAACCACTAGACGTTGTTGTATTCTTATGTTTGTTTGAAAATTCGCACAAGTTAGGATTCTCAGGTCACCAACTAGTTAGTACTTACTGGTTGAAATCTAAAGCTTAATTAAGGGTTTATGGTAGTCTGAGTGCAATAAGCATGCTTCTGCTTTTTCAGTAACACAGCAGCTGAAATTGAGCCACTGATATGTTCGGCGAATTTGATCTACTCTCTGGTTCATTTAGATTCGATGATTCTCTTATGAGATTCCCCTTTGTACTGGTTTTAATACTTTCTAGGATAGCCGGTTGAAGGATCTGTTGACTATGAATGACAGTAAGTGGAGTTGATATCAACACGGAGTACAGGGTATTTGACAATATGTGACCTCATTAGGAAAGTAGTTTAAATCTTGTTTGAACAGATAGACACATGAGCAAGATTATCTACTGTGAGCCCGAAGCTTCATGGTAAGATATCAGGATCACATTGTAACAGTTTCTCGTAACACTTGGATCATGGAATGATGTTATACCGTTAAGAAACATTGTTGAAGCCTTTTATTCTCTCCATTAACTTATCCTGTTAGGATTTATCTCTATTCCTTATGTACAGTTTGCTTATGACTTCCTTTCACTTCATTATAGGCCAAACTGGGAAGGAGGTCAATATGAAGGTGATGACAGAAAGCGGTTTGAAGCACTTCTTTTCGCCATGGAATTGGGAGCAGAATATGTGGACGTTGAGCTCAAGGTATGTTTTTCATTAGTATACATGTCATTAGTATACTGTATACATACAATCGTCAATAATATGCCATCAATTCTTTATGGCAGCAGGAAATTCATACTCCTCATTTTTCTTATGGTAAAATAATAAAAAAGATGAACATGCTTAATCTCAGTTTTGTAATTCTCTCGACTGTCAATTGTCTGCATTCTTTCCGGTTATACTCAAGACCCTGTTGCACTAATCACAGCATTTGTATAATTTTACTGAGCAGGCATATGAGACTGAACAATCACCTACCTCAGCAAATCTCATATAGTGAATGTGATAACAATTATTCAAGCATTTGCATAAATTTCAGAAGAGACTGAGTACCATCCATTTCCTTTGGTTTCAATGCGTATCGAAGGGAACATGAACTAGAACAGAGATATGTGAGAGCAATGAAGATTAATTATCTAAAACATACTGAACATGAAACTTACAGCGAAGTACCGTTACAATCTTAAGGTCAGCAATTCGAGTTGGAAGTCATGGGTACAACCTATCACAATGAGGGCTAAAGCTTTGTAGTTCTGACCCTCTTGTATCATACAGTGTCAGTAGTCTTGTGCAGCGGGGTCCCTTTTCTATTAGAACATACTTACATTTGTTTTCTAACTTGTGTTTTGAGGCTCTAAGCTGAACACTTGGCTACTGAAGATGACACCTAACATGCGTTCTCAAGCCTTAGAGTTCAACTAAGATTTTATTGAGTAATGGCAGACATAACTATCTCAAGTCATGCTATATTATGTTCATTATTCATGGACATTGTTTCTTGTGACTTCATTGGCTCTAATTTCTATGTGGTCCAAAGTAGGAGAAAAATGGGGTTTGTGGTTGAGAAATTGAACTTACTAGTTTAAGTTAGTGCACATTGGGCAAAATTTGATTTCTATTCCACCAAGGTTCCATGCATTTGGAAGGTTTCAGTTGGGGTTAAAAAACACTTTTCAAGTAATTTTAATTTATATTGTTTGTTTTCCTGTTGATGATTTTTTATATTTTTATTTTCTGCAAGCGACAAATAGTTCTTCTGGGCCTTATATATGCTTTTATTTACAGGTTGCTCAGGAGTTTTTTGACTTCATATCAGGAAAGAGGCCAGAGGGTACTAAGATCATTATTTCTTCTCATAACTATCAGTTCACTCCATCTAGTGAGGATCTTGGCAGTCTTGTTGCGAGTATACAGGCAGTCGGAGCAGATATAGTGAAAATTGCAACATTTGCTGTGGACATTTGTGATGTGGCACGCATGTTTCAAGTGATTGTGCATTGCCAGGTGACACATACTTAAGGCTTTGATGCGATTAGAAAGCATCAATTTGTGGTCTTGTAGCCACTTGCATTCTATTATTTTTGAAATAGATGCATTTCATCTTGCGTTTCTTCCTGCGCAAACTCAGATATGCAGTTCTATCATGTATGTGTGCTGAGACTCAATGAAGAAACAGGTTCTAGGCAGAGGTCTAGGGAGCTCGATGCATAACAGTTAAGACATGAATAAGTTATTAAGATTTTATGCTAAAATTCAAATTAAATCAAGATAGTTCTTTCTGAAGTCTGTCCAAAGAGATGTGAAAGACTAAGATAAACATATCTTTTCCAGCAAGCTTGAACCAATGATAGTATATTCTGTGAAAACAGTAACTCTTTGATTACGTAGCAATTGATTTACTTACCTCCAATATCTAGTGACTAAATCAAGGTTTTCTGATTAATGAATCTTGACGATTTAGTGACATACTTAATTGCCAGCATACTTTAATTTAAGAGGTAATAGTTATACTATGAATTTTGTTTTAGTTATGCATGCACATTATAATTTTAAGCACAAAGGTCAAATAACTCATAAGTATACCCAATTTACGCTCAAACTTTTTCCGACAAATGATCTTAAAACTATACCAGTTCAAGTATGCCTTCTGCTTTTGTGTGGGCTATCCATTGTCTTAAAAAGCTCCTGCCCTAGACAAATGATCTTAAAAATATACCAGTTCAAGTATGCCTTCTGCTTTTGTGTGGGCTATCCATTGTCTTAAAAAGCGCCTAGGTGAGCGGAGACTACTTACATGGACTGCACCACTAAGTCTTGGTCGTGATTTCCTCAATTGCCGCCTCTGTGTTTTCTAACCTCCTCCGAACTCCTTTGGCCTCCTCCACCGATTACGAACTCCTCCAACCATCAGCAAAATCTCCTCCGCCACCAGTTAAAAAAAGAATCCTCCTGGGCTTAGCGCTAGGCGTCAGTTTGACACATAGTGATGCCTAGGGATTTCAACAACATTGATTATAATTAAAAAACAAAGAAAATAGGAAAATGCCTAGGCTCTAGGCCCCCGGGTCCGACGCATAGGCGGCCTAATGCTTTTTGTAACTTTGGGGCTATCCTAGACAGGAGGTTTAGTTCAAGCAGTACCAGTGCAGAGGACCTAGTGGGTGTTTTATATTTGGAAAAAGAATAACATGCTAAGATCTACAACCCCCACTATGTCTACAAAAGCCCCTGAAAAAAATGTTATGATGGCGGAGTGGCGGACTATTTCCAATTTCTCTGCTTATGTTATGGATTGTTGCAGATTGATTGCAGATTGATTGCATTCACATTATGTTGATGCAATTTTCCATAGCGAATAGTCAAATACTAGGTAACAGTACCAATCAGCTGTTCTTACCTTAAAGAGTTTCTACTGCTTACAAAGCTCCTTGTTTCTCCTTTTCTATGCTATGTGAACTTGAAGGTTTGAAGGAATATCTTCAGCACGGGAATATTTCTGTAGTGTGTTACCTGTTTACACATTCAATTTGACTAATTACTGGATTGCAGGTCCCAATGATAGGACTGTGTATGGGGGAAAGAGGAGTTATTTCCCGGATACTTTGCCCTAAATTTGGTGGATACCTTACCTTTGGCACACTGGCTTGGGGTAAGGAATCAGCTCCCGGTCAACCAACTATGTCAGACTTGGTTGATGTTTACAGAATCAAGCATATTGGTGCTGATACAAAAGTATACGGATTAATCGGAAAGCCATTGGGCCAGAGCAAAAGCCCTAGGTTGCACAATGCAGTATTTAAAGAACTTGGTCTCAATGCGGTTTATGTGCCATTTTTAACTGATAACCTTGCTGATTTCCTCAATACCTACTCATCTCCAGATTTTGCTGGGTTCAGGTGTGGCTTGCTCTTTGTTCTTCTATACTTGCATATCCCCAGATTCTTCCATACTGTCTGTTTTTAACATTTTCTTCTTTCTTCCAACTGGGTGATAGTAATACGATGCCTCACAAGAAGACAGCAGTTACTCTCTGTCATGAAGTTGATCCAGTTGCTAAGGTAACTGGTGGCATTTTTTCTATTGTATTATTTCATCTATTTTACTGGGTTCTTCTGGTCAATGCGTGTCTTGAATTAACATCCCAAACGGGTGACAGTATATTTAATGTGTTCTGACTTTTATTTCTTTTGATCTTTTCAGTCCATAGGAGCTGTGAATACTATAATTAAGAGACCGATTGATGGAAAACTTGTTGGTTACAACACTGACTATGTTGGTGCAATTTCCGCTATTGAGGATGGAATTAGAGGTGCCATACTTTTTGATCTAGATTTTAATATCAATTAATAATATAGTTGAGCAAATGATAATTTCAGAACGTTCTGTTGACGTGTAAATGCTACAGGATTAGTGGGGCACAAGGATGCTGTTTCACCTCTAGCTGGTAGACTTTTCGTGGTCATAGGTGCTGGAGGTGCTGGAAGGGCACTTGCTTTTGGAGCGAAGTACAAGGGTGCAAGAGTTGTGATTGCAAACCGTACCTATGGTAGGAACCAATTCATTCTTTGATATTTAATTCAGTTTTTTACTTTAACTTTTGAAACAGTCTGTTATTGATTTTTTTTAAATATTCTATCCTTCCCAACTTCAATAATTTTTGTATACTTGCTAGTAATGATTTATTTTCTCCCTTAGTATTTAAGTGTTGAATGAGCTGTAGTTATCACCCACTAATCCACCAACGTCTTTTTTTATTTAATTTTTTTGGTTCTTATAGAATTTCGATAATTTATATTATATATTTCTTAGTGTTATAAATGTGTTGTTAGACTAAGTTCTATCAGGGGCTAATTGCGGATACAGCACCTGCCTAAAGGAGGTTAGCCACTTACGATCCATAAACTTTTCACTAATACATAGACCTCTTTTATGCCCAAACAAGGTTATCTTTCCCTTATCTGTACCTGTACTATATAACCGGTGTACGTGCAAGACCTCAAAAAGAATAGTGTCTCTTCGTGCAGTACATTAAGGTATTGTGGCACTCATCTGACAGGTGCAGGTAATCAAGAGAGAACGCTGTTTTCACATCAGAGGGTGCTAATAAGATAAGTGGTTGACCCGTACATTACCACGGGTGTATCTGCAATTAACACTTGGCCTTCTGCTTGTTGTATGAACTTGCTTATTTCAAGAAATTAAGATAGCCGTAAGTTTTATGAACTAAATTTCATGTTTCTTTTCTAATTGGTAGAGCGAGCAAAGGAGCTGGCTAAATCAGTTGGAGGACAGGCTTTGAGACTTGCTGAGTTGGAAAATTTTCATGCAGAAGAAGGTGCTGTCCTTGCAAACGCAACATCAGTAGGAATGTATCCAAATATTCATGATACACCTCTACCGTCAAAGGTTTTTATTCCTCTTCTATTTCTCTCACAAAATTAAATTAACCGAAGAATTCAAATTATGTGTTCTTGTGAATGTCAGCGTTAGTGAAAAGGTCACTTTCCCTTCCAAAATATCTGTAATCAATATTCTTTGGGTAAGTGCATTGGCAGTAACCTGTATTTTACTTCCTAATTAGATGAATGAAATCTTTATACTAGAAGTACCATCTTCGGTTATGACAGGCACATAAATTATGCCTTTCTACTGTGATAGACCAATTGACATTTCTCATTTGTTAGAGATGTAAAACTTCTGTACAATAATTTCAGCTTTATAGCTAAGTTATTGCTGAGCAATCAGTGTATGCAATCTGACTAATGTGATTAAATGTGTGATATCACAGCAAGCTCTCAGTTCTTATACTCTGGTCTTTGATGCTATTTACAACCCGAAAGTGACCAGACTTATGCGCGAAGCTGGAGAATGTGGAGTTGCTCTTGTCAGTGGAGTGGAAATGTTCTTGAGGCAGGCAATGGGTCAATTTGAACTCTTCACCAGTTCCTCGGGTATAGTTAATTAGTTATTTCCATAACTCTATTTTATATTTTATCCAACATAACTTAGAGCCTATTTCCTCAGCAAATCCTTTTTTTTTAACAGCTCCTTCTGACTTGATGAGGGAGATTGCATTGAAGATAACATAAACCGATTCTTAAAGGTAAATTTTATTTATTTAGTCATCTATGTCGGCGAATTACCCTCTAGCTAACAACTGAACAAAACATGTTTTTTTTAACTCTTCTCTTTTCATGGGTGTTTAAAGGTGGAATGTATAAGCTATTATACGTTATGTGGAGAGCGTCATCTTTAGAAAAAGGATTGAGTTGAATAGCTCCCCATTTTATTGGAGGTTCAATAAGTTGTGCGGCTTTAATGTACACAGATGTCAATTCCTTGTAACTTGTAGAAACTATAGCGTATATCATCAAAATTTATTCTTAATTTCTTTTCTGCAGAACAAGACACTGAAGGTTGACGGTGTATGTATTTTAAAAATTTTAGCTCTGTTTTCATTAATTTTGTACCTCTGAGAGTATAAAAGAAATTCTGCTTTCAAATAAGTAGTGAGAAATGGAATGAGGAAGGTAAGTACGTAGTGATGTCAAGTGTAGGTTTCACTATAGTTACCTTATGGTTCTGCCTCTCAGCATGGGATAACAAAAAGTAGATTTATCCCATGTTCAACTATGCAACTCATCAAGATATGATTGGATGATTTTAATTTCATTTTTATCAATCCACATGCCTTCAGGTGCATTAAAGCAATGCAGAGATCTGTTATGTACATCTCTGGAGCAAGTCGCCGAAAACCCATTTATATTTGGGTCTTCAAGTTCACCACATTAGAATTGATCTTTCGCATAAATTTATGGGTGATGTATTCTCCCCAGTCGGTCATTTTGGTAAATCCTAGTGCTATTTGTCAAACTTTAATTGTTTGATGTTCAAAATGAGCCAAGTACTAGGCACAAGCAACGCTGTAAGAATGGACAAGAAGGTGAAATGATTAATGTGTAAAAAAATGAAGTTATAATTAGGAGTGCACACTCAAACACTAAAAAATCAGACCTTAAATGCCTTATCCTGCATTTTAGAGAATAGCTTCACATGTTAAATGCTTTATATTTTCAATTTTGGATATTGTGTCAATAAAATCAGATACATGGCAATGACTAGAGCCAAAGTTGAACTGTCTACTTGGATTAGAGATACAGTCAGTTGATTTTTTTTTTCCTTAGAAAAGTTAATGTATACTCATTGAGTGAAAAAAGATTGTAATATTTGCCCAGTGTGTGGAAGATATAGTTCTGAATGAAACAAAATTTAAAAAAAAAGTAAATAGTCCTCTCCAAATAATTTGTCTTATTAGAGTTTTCTGTTTTGTCCTTTGTAGATATCTTTATGCCTTCGGAATTCCTCTCCAAAGATTGTAATATTTTCTCCTAACCATTTGCATAAAATAATATAGCAAATCATCCACACTCAAACTAAGCTTCATAATTTAAATAAGAAATTATAGTACATATAATCCACCAATTTGAAAATATAACCAATCAAAAGAGAAATTAGGATCAAATATTCAATAAAGTTAGGGATCGAGGATGATGGACGAGAAAGGCTTAATAGAGTGTAGGCATTTTATGGAAGCAAAAAAGATGTTCTGCACGTGACTCAGAATAAACCTCCTCTTAAGTCTTAAGGCTAGATCACTTACTTCGGTACTTCATGAAAGCACAATAAGAGACATGGCTGAATGCATTGAAAATCAATCAAAACTTTCATAAGAGAGAGAGGGAGAGAGTGTAGAGGTTACTACTTTAATTTCGATCGTCGATTGTTTAATAGACGGTTATGATTCATTCTAAATTTAATATTCATATACACCTTTAAATTGCATTCATTCTTGTTTTACATTCAGTAAGATGGGTTATAACCATCAATTTGACAATAAACATTTATGATTAAACACGATAGATGGTCGCTGCACGGCTTTTTGATAGTTGAGAGAATCCAAACCTTCCTAGCCAATGATTATAATTTGCATTGAGTAATAAAAAATATATATATAATTCACCAGAAATGGGGCCTTGATTGTAAAAATAAGGTACAAATATCTACATATTATTGAAAGCTTATCATTTAAATTACAAAATGACAAATATGCCCTCTAGTGATTTTTCTAGAATTTGTGGAAAAGGGCAAAATTGTCATTTCAGAAGCTTTCTAGGGCAAAGTGCATCAAATTTATTTAATACCAAATGACAAATATGCCCCTATAAAATAAAACCCATGCCCCTAATCAAACCCCACACCAACAGATCCTAACCACTCATCTCATGATATTGTATCCACCCATCAGGGGTGAAAATGTAAATACACAATTTACCAGCGACATAAGGAAGAAAAATAGTGAGAAATTCCAGGGTCTTCCTCCCAAAATTCCCAAATTTTAGTTCCCGCTGAGCGGGGCGCCTCTTTAGATTTTCGTTTCCTTTCTCTCGCCTCCCTCCGCTCTTTCTCTCTCCTCGGATTGCCGGCGACGACCGTGAGTTTCTCTCTCTAACATCTAGCACTTTCTAGGGTTTCCGAATCCCTACCTAGGGTTTGATTCTAGTTGAAATCTCGGGGTTCTTTCGAAATCTAGGGTTTTGACTTTGCTCTCTGCTTTGGATTTTTGGACGGTTGCCCTTTCTTGGAGCGTAGGGCTTCAGCATATTTAGTGTTGATTTCACTTTTATCCGTGGTTGCTATGGAATTTGCTGGGTTTTGGTTATTTCTGAACATGGGGATGTGATCTTTTTGTGTTGGGTTGAAATTTTTTTAATTGGCATCTGTGTGGAGAACATGGATTGTTGTGCTTTGTACACAATTTAACTAGATTTTTGAAGTTTTTTAGTTACTTGGTCTTGGTGAGGGAGATGCTATCAAGAGCTAGTTTTTTTTGAGTGAGGTTTTGCCATGTGCTGGTTAGGTCTATAGCTGAGCGATTATGGATCCCCAGTACTGTTTAAATTTTCAAATTTATATTTTTAGTTGATTTGTGTGGAGATTTGTAACCAAGTTCGAATCCCACCTGGCATGAATTTAAAGTGGAGTCCAGAAAAAAAGTGACTTTTGACAACTGGGCAGAGTCGTGCTAGCGTATAGAATTATAAATCAATCCTCACCACAACTTTGTAGTTTTAATGTAGTGGAAGGGATCTTAGACAAAATTTAAGTCATGATTTGTGAGCTTTGACCTTTTTGTCTCAACCATTCTCCTTCGTTTGCATAAATAAGATAGTATATTTAAGATAATCAGTGTTGGTATAGGTAATTGCAAGTTTTTCTATATTCATAATGCCTTAAATAGCATAGAGTTTGAAAAGAGGTGTTTCTTCTAGGCACATGGGAGTTTGTCAAACAGAATAATTTTTCTATGCAGTTCTTTTTTTATGTTGTGTATTAAGTTATAGAGTGCCTCTAGAAATTCAGTAGAATCAGCGTTTGAAAGTATGTTTTTGTTGTTGCAGATTTTTTTTGATCCTGGTCAAGTATCGTTATCGTCATTAAATCTCATCCTGTGACAAAGGTAAGAATTGTTTATCAAGTTATAATCAGTTTTATTAATGCCGTAAGACATTTGGCTATATTGTCAAATGCCTGATTCACGAACTTCTTGCTAGATAATAACATACAGCTGGATAATACTATACTAGTAATGTGTATTACTCTTTTCTCTATATTTTCAAAATGTTGTAGCATGTACTTGTGACTTCCCATAACTCAACCCACTCACTTGCCACCTAACCGGGCCTCACGTGCATAATCTTTCATGTGTTCTTATGATAAAGATAACAACAATAGCAAGAGAGTCTTGATTCTAACTTTAACAACTGGCTAGAATTACATATTGTAAGGGCCATTTCCTTTCCTAGACTAGTAAATAGCATATACTCCTAGTCCTACTTGCTTAACCAATCATGATATATATATATATTTCTCCTAACTGGTGCACTAATTAGTCTGTCAGTTAATATGTCTCAAGTCCGAGCCATCTGCATCAATATTCATTCTTTTTTGAATCAAATTTGAAGCTACATGAAGCTTCTTATGGATGTAAGTATGTAACTTTTTAGCATATTGGTATGCATCGATCCCAATAAGGGTGGTATTCTCAATCCGTTCAACAGTTTCGCCTAAACCTTAACCAAAATTACTGGTAATGCTCCTGACAGAGACGTATGAGTCATAAACATGTCAATTTGTGTAACCCATGTAACAGATAAAAGTTGAAGGGCTAGACTTGTTTAACCTGGTTTGATCTGATTTGAGAAATCATATATTTTGAAAAATAAGACAACTTGTATAGTTAATGAATAAATGGCATATAGATTATTATTTAATTGCAAAAGACATTGTATTTAGAGGTTTTTCGATACTAATCTTTTTTAAATCTTCAATATTTGAAACTAGTCCCTTAAATCATTGAAATTGCTATTAGGTCCCGCAATATTTATATCTTGCTAGTTCTGTTCTTGATTGTAGGGATCAATTTAAAACAACTTATAAGAATTGGGGGACCTGACAATTTCATTGATTTGAGGGACTAAACTTGGGACAATTTATTAAAATTGGTGGATGTAATAGCAATTTCAGTGGTTTATTAAAGTTGGTTATGTGTTCAATACTGGCTTGACCTTCTAAGCTAATCACTTTTCTTATAATCTTGACCTATTGATAATCAGTTTAGACAGGTTGTATATGGTTGATGCAATTATTAACCTGGTTGGGTATGCGTCAAGATACTTGTGCCAGTATAATGTTCCATACTAACAATCCTACTTTGATATTTTCACCTATAGTATTCCCTCCCTACTTCCCTTCATCTTCATGGGTATTCACATCGTACTCCAAAAGTACGTATCCATCCTAACGGTCCTACTTCATGTGAACACATTCCTTCTCAATCTCATTATGATAAATCTCTGATATTAAGTACAGAACATAAACACTCCCTAAGTAATTTGGCCAAGATGTATGAATTGCACACTTGTTTATTATCATATTTATATTTTTAACCTTTTAAGCTGTGATCTTTGGGATTTTTAAGGTTATCTGACTTTTAAATTAGCTATTTATAGTCCTGTGTGACCGGTATAATCTGAGCATAAAACGTTCACCATGAATTGTCATCTTCAATATGCCCAGTTAACGAGTTCATACTTTAAAGAGATTTGTTTGATTTAATTCCTTGACTGGAACCTTATTCTGTTTGGTGATGATCTGACTGTTGTTTAGTTACTCATGGCAATTATTCTCTATCATAGACTTTCACATCCACACTTATAAGCAGACAAAACGCATCCTATGATTTTGGTTCTGTAACTTATGCTTAATATCGCTAATATATTCGTGCTACCAATTGTAAAACTATTGTATTTACATCTTATATATTTCCTTCTATTATCTTTGTTCATTTGTATTACCAATTTACCACAAGAACTGAAGTCTTCAAAAACCACCAGAAGCTCCTTTTGGACTAGGTTTCAAGCATTTAAATTGATTGAGGGCTATTTTCTTGGAAATTACCAGTTTTGCAAGCAAGTTCCCTTTCTTGTACAGGGTTTATGTTTTTCTATTGTTCTTCTTATCTGGAGCAAGGGTACAATATTTTATTTACTTAGCTTTTGAAGTTTTGATGAAGAAAAATAATTTACCTGGTCACTATTTCTTAATTACTTTGATGATGGTGTACAAAAACTCAATGATTAGATTGGCATGTTTAAATCATAAGTGGATTTTTTTTTAATTATCTCTGTTAGCATGACATTTCCTTTCTGGTTGCCAACAATGCACTTTCTCATATGTATATGTTTGTAGGTACATGTAATTTACTTTTTTTTCAAGGTCCAACATATGGAATTTTCTGTCTTCTGTGGTATCGAGGGTTGCTTCCTTCCTATTTATGATTCATTTTGTATTCTTCATGCAGGTGCTTAGTTTGTGTGGCGTTTGAATGTCAATGAGAAGTGCTTGCTAGGAAGCTGTTACTTTGTTGAAATATCAAATATCTTTATTTTTTTCCTCCATTACCATATTGAGAGGTTCAAGAGAAAGGACTCGTTTCTTTGTTTTTTGTGACTGGGAGCATAATGTGGAGGAAGGTTTTGTTTTTGCGGTTAGCCAATCTCACATGAGGAGTTTCAAGGATAGCTTTTTTTACAAGTTACAATGGAGTGTAATAAAGAAGAGGCTCTCAGAGCCAAGGAGATCGCTGAAAAGAAAATGCAACTCAAAGATTTTTTGGGGGCCAAAAAAGTTGCTCTGAAGGCTCAACAGCTCTTCTCAGACCTTGATAACATCTCTCAGATGATAACAGTTTGTGAAGTCCATTGCCGCGCGGGGCTTAAGGTCAATGGCGAAATGGATTGGTATGGTGTTCTCCAATTAGAACAAACAGCCGATGAATCATCGATCAAGAAGCAGTATCGCAAGCTTGCTCTTCTGCTTCATCCAGACAAGAACAAGTTTGCTGGTGCTGAAGCAGCATTTAAGCTGATTGGTGAAGCGAATATGATATTGTCTGATCGAGCTAAACGTTCTGTGTACGACATGAAAAGAAGAGCTAATATTACGACAGCTGTGTCGAAGCAACCTGCACAAAATGCAAATATGACCACTTTTCCTAGAAAACAACCTGCAGTTCAGCACAATTTTACAAGCACTGCTACGTTTCACTTTGGCAACATAAACCAGCAGCAGTCAGTTGGATCCCAAACTTTTTGGACCATGTGTTCAGCTTGTTGCATGAAATTCCAATATTTCCGGAACCTTTTGAATAGATCTATCCGCTGTAATAGATGCTTGCAACCTTTTGTTGCAATGGAACTAAATGAACAATCTGTGCCACGCCCTTGGGAAAGTTCTAATTTACATAGCCATACTCAAAATTCCAAGCAAGAGGTTCCATTTCAAGGAAGCACTTTTGGCAATTTTTCTTTTGCCACGGGTTTTCAAGGAAATGTTGCTGGAGGATCTAGTTCTGGAGTCAATATGGACCGTTGTGGGAAAAAGGAGGATGGTAACAAGGTAAAGCCTGAAAAAGTAAATACAGCAAAGGCAGGTAGGAAGGAGCGACCGGTTAAGCCTTCGGCTCAAAATTCACGCAAAAAGAAAGGTAGAAAGATGGTCATAGAATCTAGTGATTCAGAAAGTAGCACTGACCTTGAGTATGAAGCTGCCGAAGATAGTGTCCATGTTGAAGAACAGAATATTGGGACTAGTAATGGGCGTTACCCACGACGATCTAGCCGTGTAAAGCAAGATGTTACATATAATGAACGTCAAATTGATGATGATGATGATTTTGTTAGTCCTAAAAGATTAAGAAAGGCTGGAGCTTCTGGTGGCATCCATAACAATGCTAATGATGATCGGAGAAAAAGCGCATCTGAAGAGAACTTACCTAATGGAGATGAACCAGTCAAGAAATACAAGGTGCATGAAACTGAGCAAGAACCAAACGTTACTTCGGAGCCTGTGGCCTCTTCAAACGTTAGGTCTTTCTCTTCTCCCGATTCTGAATTTTATGATTTTGAGCAGGAGAGGGATCCTAGTAAATTTGCAGCTGATCAGATCTGGGCTGTCTATGATGACTTAGATGCAATGCCGAGATTCTATGCTCGGATTAGGCAAGTATTTACCCCATTCAGGTTGCGTTTCACTTGGCTAGAGTATGTCCCTTTTAGAGAACATGAATCAGAATGGTACAGTGCCGAGCTTCCAGTTGCCTGTGGAAAGTACAGGCACGGCAAGTTAGAATCCACCACCACTGTGGAGATGTTCTCTCATCAAGTTTCTTGGAAGAGTGGCGGAGGCGCAAACCGGAATACATATGATATGTATCCTCATAAGGGTGAGATTTGGGCTCTTTTCAAGGGTTGGGATGCTGGGTGGATCTCTGATGCAAACAGTCATAGGCTTTATGAATATGAAGTCATTGAAGTCCTTTCTGATTTATCTGATGGCAACGATTTTTATGTTGTCGATTTAGTCAAGGTACAGGGATCCGTGAGCTTGTTCATGAGATCAGTGGTTAATGGAAAGCGTCGAATACTCCGTAGTGAAGTACTTCGATTTTCTCACAGGATTCCTTCCTATAGACTGTCTGGGGGTGAAAGAGAGGGGGTTCCAGAAGGTTCTTTTGAGCTTGACACTGCTTCTTTGCCGAATAATTTTGGAGATGTCTTTCCTTCTGTTTCTCCTGACACTGCTTCTGTTAAAGCAATGAGCATGAAACTAAATGAGGAGAATGATATGGAGACTAGGGGGAGTAAAGGTGTTTCCGCTGATGCGCTAAATCGGGATTCGCCTAATGAAGACTGAGTTCCATGACTTTCATGAAGATAAGACCATCGATACTTTTCAACGTGGACAAATTTGGGCAGTTTACAGTGATATAGACCAGTACCCAAAGTTCTACGTAATGATAAAGAAAGTTGATGGTGATGATATAGCCGTATCATGGGTCGAGCTTTCCCCCCAAGGAAAAGACGAGGAGAAGTGGATCAAGAAAAATCTTCCAGCTACCTGTGGCAGATTTAAAGTTGAGCGTGCAACAAATGAAACCTTTGATACTGCTCACTTTTCTCATATGGTGCAGGCTGAAGACGGGAAAAAGTGGGAGTATGATATTTATCCAAGAACCGGTCAGGTTTGGGCGCTGTACAAAGATTGGAGCATGGACTGGTCAGAAGAAGACTTGAGTAAATGTGAACACTACGTGGCAGAAATCCTCGAGGTTACTGGTTCTGTAGTGAAAGTTCTGCTGTTGACCAAGGTTGTTGATTATAATTTCGTATTCAAGCCTGAAAAGGAAGGAGGAGTTGAGCAGGTTATGGAGATACCGTTAAGTGAAAATCTGAGATTCTCTCATCAAATTCCGGCGTTCCAGCTGACAGAAGAATTTGATGGTTCGCTCCGCGGCTATTGGGAACTCGATTCTGCATCGGTACCAAAACCATATATTTAAATTAATGTAACTTTGTTTTGAATTTTGAAATAGAAATTTATCATCTCTGAAGCTAGAACTGTTCCCTGAAGTGTCACGAGCGAGTCCTTTGGAAATACAGTGATATCTATATGTTCATATCTAATTTCTCTTTGAAACGCATCAATGTCTCTCTGGTTTTTATCATAAAAAAATCTTTCTATTTTAAGCCATAGTATTTATGTGATAGTTATTTCCTTTTTGGTTGGGCATTCATGTGCATTTTAGGAATTCCGTACGTGATAAAAGATGATCAGTATATGATTTTTATGATGTTAAATTCATGTTCATACCTCTTCGAGAACATTTTTTACTTGTGTTTCCTTTCTTTCCCCTTTATTTTGCTTTTCCAGGCGATATTGTGCGAGATGTGGCTCTCTCTTTAAGAACATTTTTTCAGTTTTATATGATCAGTTTGAAGTTCTGGTCTCGTATCGAGATTTTTGTTTCTCTCTCTTTCTCTCTTGCAGGACGCCACTCAGTCTTGTAATTTTTTGATAGCATCAGCAGGATGAATCTTTTGGCTCCTTTGCTGGTACTCGTTTCTATTTTGAGAACAGGAATCATCTTTTAACTCATGGTACTGTGTTTCTGTGCCTATGTATGTTGGTAATTTAACGCCGAAATCCCTAATGCAACAGAAACGCAGAATAGAGAACAGTACACAAGATTTAACGAGGTTCGGCAACTGCCTACGTCCTCGGGAGCCACACAGTTAATTTCTTATTAATCAAACAAGAAATTACAATTGAAGAGCAAATCTTAAACTGAGATTTCTCAAATAAACACTATAGCTACAGTGTTAATAATTAAAGGGAATAAACCCTTTCAATTTCTCTCTTGAGAATACCCCTTTCAAAAGGAATAAAGAACCCTTAATTAATTTCTCTCTCTGTTTTAAATTCCCCTCAAGATCTAAAGTCCCAAGTGCTGGAAAAAAGAAAACGCTTCTGCGTTTTGGTTGCCGCCAGAGAAAAACGAAAAAGGGGGAAAAAGCATTCGGCTAGGGCATCGCAAAGGGGCTTTTATAGGCGGATCCGATGGGGGCTGGCGACAGCCTGAAAAAGCATTCGGCTAGGGCATCGCAAAGGGGCTTTTATAGGCGGATCCGATGGGGGCTGGCGACAGCCTGTCACCAGCGCACAAGTGGGACGCGAGCGTCGCCAAGAACGCGGGGGTCGGCATCTCCCAAACGCGCGGGTCGACGAGCTTGGACGCGCGGGTCAGGTGGGCGTTCGCCAGCGTCGCGTTTCGCTCCATCGATCTCGTCGGAGCTCCTCGCCGGCGCTCCTCATCGGAAATGAGGTTTGATCTACACCCCAATTCTAACAATCTCCCACTTGGAGATCAAACCGCCGTCAACAGGCTATCCCATCAAACTCCTCTCCTGTGTGGCTCCGCCTTCATCATCTATGCATGAAGGCCAACTGAAGTTGCGCACAACTCCAGTTTCTGAACTGTCACCGTCTTTGTTAACATGTCTGCTGGATTCTTACTTCCTGGAATCTTTTCCAGTTTCAACACGTCATCTTCCAACAGGGATCTGATGAAGTGATACCGAAGCGCAATATGCTTCGTTCTAGAATGAAATGCTGAATTTTTCGCCAAGTGTATCGCACTCTGGCTATCACTGTGCAAAACATTCTTCTCCTGTTTGAATCCCAGCTCTGTCAACAAACCTTGAAGCCATATCATCTCTTTACTGGCTTCAGTCACTGCAACATACTCAGCTTCTGTAGTGGATAGGGTAACGATCTTCTGTACCTGTGACATCCAACTAACAGCTGTAGTTCCAACGGTGAATACATAGCCGGTGGTGCTTCTTCGGTGATCAACTTCGCCGCCGAAGTCTGCATCTACGTACCCTTGCACTTCTACCTCTCCCTTACCAAAGTGCAAACACTTCTGTGTGGTGCCTCGTAGATATCTCAGAATCCACTTGACCGCTTCCCAATGAGCTTTTCCTGGATTCGACATAAACCGGCTGACCACTCCCACTGCATGGCCAATATCTGGTCTCGTACAGACCATAGCGTACATCAAGCTTCCGATAGCTGAGGCGTAAGGTACCTGAGCCATACTCTCTTTCTCTTCTTCTGACTGAGGAGACTGATCCTTCGATAGACGAAAGTGGTTGGCCAAGGGTGTGCTCACAGGCTTGGCGTTGCCCATGTTGAATCTCTGCAAAACACGGTTGATGTACTCCGTCTGAGATAACTGCAAGAGACCTCTCTTCTTATCTCTCGTGATTTGCATTCCAAGGATCTTCTTCGCTGGACCCAAGTCCTTCATGTCAAACTCCTTTGACAGCTGCTGCTTCAAGCTTCTGATATCCTCCATATCTGCTCCTGCAACCAACATATCATCAACATACAGCAGTAGGATGATATAGCTGGACTGATATCTTTTGAAGTAGCAACAGTGGTCGGCGTTGCACTTCTGGAAACCTTCCTTGTGCATGAAGCCGTCAAACTTCTTGTACCACTGTCTTGGGGCTTGTTTCAGGCCATACAAGCTCTTCTTGAGTCTGCACACCAGGTTCTTTTTCTTCTTTTCTTCTGAGAAACCTTCTGGCTGGTGCATGTATATCTCCTCTTCTAGATCTCCGTGAAGAAACGCCGTCTTCACGTCTAACTGCTCGAGATGAAGATCTTCAATTGCTACAATACTCATCACGGTCCTGATAGTATTTAGCTTCACCACGGGAGCGAAAATATCGGTGTAGTCAATTCCTTCCTTCTGCTGGAAACCTTTGACAACTAGCCGGGCCTTATATCTTCTGGAACCATTTTGCTCCTCTTTCACCCGGTACACCCATTTGTTGTGGAGTGCCTTCTTACCCGTGGGCAACTCAGCTAGTTCCCACGTCTGGTTTGATATGAGAGACTTCATCTCATCTTTCATTGCAAGCTCCCACTTGCTCGCATCTCCACACTGACAAGCTTCATCAAAGCTTTCAGGCTCCCCACCATCTGTCAACAACAGATAGTTCATGTATCTCCTGTTGGGTACAGGAGGACGAGAAGATCTTCTTAATATCGGAGCTGGTGCGTCGGGCTCCTGCGCACCATCTTGTCCAACAGGCTCTTCTTGCTGAGGACCCTCTGCATTGGGTTCTTCCGAGAGGTTACTCGGGACATCATCTGCATCTACAAATATTGACTCGCTCTCTGAGTCATCTGTCTTGTGCATGTCCTTGTACATCACCTTCTCGTTGAATATCACATCTCTGCTCCGGATCACCTTCTTGTTTTCGTTGTCCCAAATGCGGTAGCCGAACTCATCTTCACCATAGCCGATGAAAGTGCATTTCTTTGACTTGGGATCAAGCTTATTCCTGCCTTGATCACTAATATGCACGTAAGCTACACAACCGAAAACTTTTAGATGTGAGAGTTTTACCTCCTTTCCGCACCATACCTCCTCTGGTATTCTGTGCTCCAATGGAACCGATGGACCTCGGTTGATCAAGTAAGCTGCTGTGTTGACCGCTTCTGCCCAGAACTGCTTCGGTAGGCCTGATTGTACTCGAATGCTTCTGGCTCTCTCTGTCAATGTTCGGTTCATCCGCTCAGCTACACCATTTTGCTGAGGCGTGCCGGGCACGGTTCTCTCCATTCTGATCCCGTGCTCATAGCAGAACTTCTTGAATCCGGTGTCTTCATACTCACCGTCATTGTCGGTCCTGAGCTTCTTTATTCTCAGACCGGTCTCATTCTCGACCATAGCTTTCCATCTCCTGAAAGCCTCAAATACTTCTGACTTATGCTTCAGAAAGTAGACCCACACTTTCCGAGAGTGATCATCGATAAAAGTCACGAAGTAGTGTTTTCCACCAATGGACGCGGTGGTTGTTGGTCCCCAAACATCTGAGTGAACGAGCTCTAGCTTCTGCTTCCTGGGGGTTCTGCCACTTGTCTGAAAGCTGACTCTTTTCTGCTTTCCAAGTATACATTCTTCACACATATCCATCTCCACTGACTGCAGTCCTGGGAGTTTTCCCTTTGTGTGCATAATCTTCATCCCCTTTCATTGCCTGCTGTAACTGAGATCAAACAACGTGCACCTGCTGTCATATATAGGGTACCAGTCTTCCTGCCTCGGGCAATCGTCATTGCGCCCTTTGAGATCTTCCAATCATCTCCATAGAAGGTCGTGGTATATCCTTCGCCAGCCAACTGGCCTACGGATATTAAGTTCTTTCTCAGGTCGGGAATATGCCCGACATCCTTCAGCTCCCATACTGACCCATTCAGCTTAATTTTCACCACGTCTTTGCCCACAATAGCACACGGTTGATCATCACCAAGATATACGTATCCAAGATTTCCGGGGGTATACTTCTCGAAGAATTCTTTCTGAGAAGTAGCATGGAACGACGCTCCTGAATCTAACACCCAAGATTCCTCCTTGCTCTCCAAAGAGCATATCAATGCGTCGTCTCCTCCTGAAGTGGAGGTGACATTCACCTCTGCCTTCGCTTCCTTCTCCTTCTGTGCGCTCTTGCACTGATTCTTGTAATGCCCGGTCTTTCCACAATTCCAACACTCGATAGCCTTCGAGCTGTTGCTTGGATTCCTTGATTTGGACCTCCTGTCCTTTGATCTACCTCTGAAGTTTGATTTTCCTCGTCCGTTTCCTCTGGTTGAATTTCTACCTCTTGACTCTGTATGCAATACTGAAGAGGTTGTAGCTTCACCCGTCTCTCTCCGTCGGAATTGTGAAGCATTAACAAATGATTTTGTTAAACTGTAGTTGTAATTCTGTTGATTTAGAAAAACTTTCTTGAAATATTAGGTTTTGCACAAAATACGATAAACTACTTTTATCAGAGATAAATTCTACAAACTTCAAAACAACAGAAATATACCACACTTCATCAAAATTTCCATGAACTTTTTTTGGTCACACTAAACTCAAATTTTCCAACATGCCCTCACACGGTGACACTTTCAAGATAAAACCTCCAATTATTAAGTCAACTCAATTGTAATTAAATTATTAATCAAATTAATTAAATCCCAAAATTTTACCCTAACTAGAGAGAGAGAGAGAGAGAGAGAGAGAGAGAGAAGAGAGGGGGAGAGGGGAGGTGGAGTCGCCAGCGTTGGAGAGTTCACCAATGACGAGTGTTAGTAATTTAACGCCGAAATCCCTAATGCAACAGAAACGCAGAATAGAGAACAGTACACAAGATTTAACGAGGTTCGGCAACTGCCTACGTCCTCGGGAGCCACACAGTTAATTTCTTATTAATCAAACAAGAAATTACAATTGAAGAGCAAATCTCAAACTGAGATTTCTCAAATAAACACTGTAGCTACAGTGTTAATAATTAAAGGGAATAAACCCTTTCAATTTCTCTCTTGAGAATACCCCTTTCAAAAGGAATAAAGAACCCTTAATTAATTTCTCTCTCTCTGTTTTAAATTCCCCTCAAGATCTAAAGTCCCAAGTGCTGGAAAAAAGAAAACGCTTCTGCATTTTGGTCGTCGCCAGAGAAAAACGAAAAAGGGGGAAAAAGCATTCGGCTAGGGCATCGCAAAGGGGCTTTTATAGGCGGATCCGATGGGGGCTGACGACAGCCTGTCACCAGCGCACAAGTGGGACGCGAGCGTCGTCAAGAACGCGGGGGTCGGCATCTCCCAAACGCGCGGGTCGACGAGCTTGGACGCGCGGGTCAGGTGGGCGTTCGCCAGCGTCGCGTTTCGCTCGAGGGTCGCGTCTTCGACTTGCGGGGCTCGAGCTCGCCTGGGGGGTTCGCCGTCGACTTCGCCAGCGTCATCTCCGAGCTCGTCGGAGCTCCTCGTCGCCGGCGGAGGTTGGTTTCCACCCCCAATTCTAACAATGTATTGTTGTGGATCTGCATTTGATTTTTGTAGCTCTTGTCGGTTCGCAACGATCTATTTCCTTGCTTTAATGGCAATTGCTCGAGTCAGATTTTCGAGTTTCATTCGTCATCTCCGAGCTCGTCGGAGCTCCTCGTCGCCGGCGGAGGTTGGTTTCCACCCCCAATTCTAACAATGTATTGTTGTGGATCTGCATTTGATTTTTGTAGCTCTTGTCGGTTCGCAACGATCTATTTCCTTGCTTTAATGGCAATTGCTCGAGTCAGATTTTCGAGTTTCATTGTAGTTTGTAGTTGTAGCGGTATTTGCTTACCTATGTTTTCGTAGATAAGCACAAAGTTGTCACCTTAAATTGCAGTGAGCCACAACATGTGCAAATTAACCACGTAATAACAAAAGAAAGGAATGCACCCAGCAGAAAAAAAAGGTCCGAAGAGAACGTAATATATCCCTCCTTTATATATAACTAGTGTGCTGTCCGTGCAAAGCATGACGATAATTTTTTTCACGTTACAGTAATCATGTTTTTAGTGTTGCAGCAAAATTTTTTGAATTGCTACAGTATCTTGCGTTTTTTAAATTATTATAGTATACTAGTGCTACAGTATTAATGTTATAGTATTTTTAAAGAACGCTACCGTTTTCGTCTCTGTTACAATAATTTTTTTTTTTAAATGCCACGGTATTCCATGTGCTGATAGTAATATTTACTGTAGCATGAACATTGAATTTTGAATTCCACCCTTTGTATAGAGGAGTAGATGTGAAGTTGGTAAACTATAATGTGAAGTTGGTAAACTACTCTGAAAGGTACACAAGTCATTTAAACACACAAAGTAATGTAATGGCACATAAAGCCATGTAAGTGCATGCACAAATAATGCTATGCGTCGTATCCTTATTTCTATATTTATCTAATAATTATCATGAGATCAAATCTATTCATAGTTAGAAATTCTAACTATAATAAAATATTTGGTTATACTAATCAGTTCATGACTATCTATAATTGAAAATTCTAATATTCACAAAGATCCTCCTATCAACGGGGCATTTATCTGGGCGGAGTTTGTAAATTTTGCACAAAACATCCCAAACTTCCAGATTTTCCGAATGGACCTCTCTACCTTATAAGTCCACAAATATATTTAAGTTCTCAATCTTATCCAATGCTCTCAATCACTTAAAGAACGTATCCATACTCCTCTCATGCATCGCCCCAAACTTATTATAAGTGCAGTTTTGCACTTAAGTCCCTCATACTTTCAGTGTTGCGGTATCACCCCCTATTGACTTCATAAATGCACCGAAATCATCTATATGTCACCTTTAAAAAATAAATTCTAATTGTAATCAAATAGTTGATAATCCTAATTAAAATATAAATTATCCCTCTTAAAAAGTCAAATAATCATTTTCTTAATTCTCTTTATTTTTCTCGTATAAGGAACAATTTTGACATTACTCCTCGAAACATCCGGAAATTATAAATATCTAAAAATATAAAAATTACAAACATCCCTATGAAAATATAAAATTATAAATTAATCCTTGAAAAATCTGAAAACTACTGACAACTCCTTTAAAAATTTAAAAACTACACATTACCCCTCTTGAAAATTCTGGAAACTACAAATAGGTTCCGAAAAAATATGAAAATTACAAATAATACCATTAAAGATCTAAAAATTACAACATCCCCGAAAAATCTAAAATTGCAAAAACCCCTCTGAAAAATCTAAAAGTTGCAAGCAGACCTAAAAAATTTAAAAATTACAAACAACATTAAAAAAAAAATAAATTTTACAAATAGCTCCCTACAGAAATTAGAAAATTACAAACAACCCTTTTTAAATCTAAAAAGTACAAATAACCTCTTTAAAAATCTGATAATTACATGTGAAAATTATAAACAGTCGTTTTTTGGGTTTTTTTACCAAAAGTTATTGGGGATTAATTGACAAAAACTAAAAACTTACTGAGTAGCTTTTACCAAAATCTATTAGGCTATTTTGGTCATTCGACCATACATGAACCAATAGTGGTAATTTGATAATTTTCTGCCAAACGTTTTTGGAGGTTTAGTGAGAGTTTCAAAGGTAATGAGGGTTAAAGATGATATCAAAGCAATCCGTGTTCGTACCCCACTAGCCACAAATCTCATGCAGATTTTAAAAATATGTTAGGATTCAAGATGACGATCCTCAATTCCCACCCCAATTTTAGAGTTTTAATATAGACGTGAGGAGTTTAGGAATTTGGAAAGTATATTTAGAAGAAACTATAATTAAAGTAGATAAACTTTTAACAACAAGGGCATTTGGTCTAGTGGTATGATTCTCGCTTTGGGTGCGAGAGGTCCCGAGTTCGATTCTCGGAATGCCCCCCTCTTTTTCTAAAATTTTACTTTTATTTTTTAAAATTGTTAAATTTGATTAATACGATGCCAATCACGTTTGGATTTCAATCCATTTGGAGAGGAAGGGGAAATAAAAGTGGAGAGCAAAAGAAAATTTCAAAAGGAAAACAACATAATTCTTTTGCACTTATCTTAAGCTTTTTTAAAAACGAGAAAAAGTAATTAGGAAATGCTTTGCACCATAAAGCTAGAAAAAAATTATCTACTACATTAATATCCACTACAACGTAAACTCGAATGAGAACGAAGTTACTTTGATTAACAACGACACACAAAAAATTGACACAGAGGGGGAGGTGTAATATATGTATTTGCAATCTCTGGAAATAACAAGGGATTTGAGAGACAAAATAGCAGTTTCAGTACTTTTGAGGGTGTTGTTTTAAAACTTTAAACAATCAAGGGACCAATATCGAAAATATTTTCTCCTATTCCTCCGAATTCTGAGTCCCACTCCTTTTTTCAAATCTGTTCCTATTCCTAGAATTTCACCTTCCTTCTCCTTTTCCCTCCAATTTCTTCCGAAAAACCTCCGCTCTATAAATCTCTCCCCTCCAATTTTTCCCACAAAAAAAAAAACCTAATTTCCCTCTTCTTTACGAATCATGCCCCCCTCCTCCGAAGAAACCCAACCCTCAAACGACGACGGCGACTCCCTCTCAAAATCAGGTAATATCTCCTCTTTCAACCCTCGACAACTCCAGTTTTACAAATCCCCTCCTCTTTTTTTCCTTTCAGGAGACGCCATCGGCATGTATCGTGACGAAACCCTAGCGGATTCGATTCTTTACGGGGAGACGCAGGCTGTAGATGGCGATGGAGATGATGAGGTTGAGACTCAGGTTGTCGGCGGGGATGGTGATGATAGGGTTTTGGGAGATGGGGCTGATTCTGTTGCTTCAACTTATGATGAGGGGAGAAGTAAAGGTTAGATTTTTGACTTAGTAATTTGGTACTTGTTGATTTGGTGAACTCAATGATGTGTTTTTAGAGCATTTTTTTTTGTTGAAAATATCACTTCTTTTCTGTTGAAAATATCAGTTCTTTACACAATAACAAATATTATCGCAAATTTCATCAATTTATTTCAACTCATTTAGAAAGCTATCTATAATTTTTATTGTTTAAAGAATTGTGTGTAATTTTATAAGTTAACTTACAAATAGGAACGATTGGAGGGGTATATACCGATCTTTAGGGTTAGTTTTCCTCAATGCAAAATTATGGGGTAACGCCATATAGAGGTTAAATACAAAAAAAAGTATTTTTGAGTTTTGTTGAAATTTTCAAACTTGCTGGGGATTTAGTGAGAGTTACAAATATTTATTGAGTTTAGTGCTAAATGCCCAATGTTGTGGTAGTTCTATTGAAATTTACCCTTTAAAAAATTAAGTAGAATCATATGAAAATGATATATATATATATATAGGAAAAAATGTGTCCATGCCCCAAAATGAGAAAGTTCATGTGATCTGCCTCATTGTATTTTGGCTCATGTGATTCAGCCCCAAAAAGTACCATTTAATATTTCAAGGCTCCTCCACGTCAGCAGTATAAAAAAAGAGATTGTATTTTAAAAAAACCCGAAATTACCCCTCTACTTATCTTCCCTAGACGTCTGGTCCACAAAATACATGGAAAGTCACGCCCATTAATGCGATCTGATGGAAAACATAGAGGGAAATTTCCCGCCCTTTTTTGAACTCTATCATGAGCAATAACTCATGTTAGTTCTAAGTTATTGGTCTAGTGGTAAACCTTATTTTATATTAGTTCTAACTTATTTTATGTTAGTTCTAACTTAGTTCTAATTCATGTTAGAGCTAACTTTAAGTAGAACTAATATGTTTATACCATGTTATAGTGGCTATGTTAGTTCTAGTTAAGCTCATGTTAGTTCTGGTGGTTCTCGTGTTAGTTCTAGCTGATTTCATGTTAGTTCTAACTGATTTCATATTAGTTCTACTTCCAGCTAGTGTTGGTTCTAATATAAGCGTTAGTTCTAGAAGCTATATTAGTTCTAGTTGAGCTCCTGTTAGAACTGACACGATGCCTGTTAGAATTGATACTGGAGAAGTTAGAACTAACACATCATCAAGTAGAACTAACATGACGTTTAGACCTAACAATTACGCTAGAACTAACGACTTAAATAAATTAGAACTAACACGATACCAGTTAGAACTAACACTGGAGAAGCTAGAACTAACACATCATTAAGTAGAACTAACATGGCGTTTAGACCCAACAATTACGTAGAACTAATGACTTAAATAAATTATAACTAATACGATATCTGTTAGAACTAACACTAGAACTAACGCATTAAATAAATTAGAACTAACACGAGCTGGTAAAAATTAGAACTAACCACATTAGTTCTAATTTATACAAAGTTAGTTCTATTTTATAACAAGTTAGTTCTATTTATACCACGTTATAGTTCTATTTTATACCACGTTATGGTTCTATTTTATACCACATTATATCTAATTTATACCAAGTTAGTTCTATTTTATACGAAGTTAGTTCTAATTTTATACCACGTTAGTTCTAATTTTATACCACGTTAGTTCTAATTTATACCAAGTTAGTTCTAATTTATACAAGTTAGTTCTATTTTATAACAAGTTATCTCTAAATTATACCATGTTATTCTGTAGCGTGTTAGCTCTAAATTATACCATGTTAGTTCTATTCTGTAGCGTGTTAGTTCTAATCTACACCATGTTAGTTCTATCCTGTAGCGTGTTAGTTCAAATCTACACCATGTTAGTTCTATTCTGTAGCGTGTTAGTTCTAATCTACACCGTATTAGTTCTATTCTGTAGCGTGTTAGTTCTAATCTACACCATGTTAGTTCTATTCTGTAGCGTGTTAGTTCTAATCTACACCATGTTAGTTTTATTCTGTAGCGTGTTAGTTCTGTCGCAGTTAATGTCAGTTCTAGTGTATGCCACGTTACTTCTAATTTATACCAAGTTAGTTATAATTTATAGCAAGTTAGTTCTATTTTATACCACGTTATAGTGTTATTTTATAACAAGTTAGTTCTAAATTATACCACGTTAGTTTTATTTTATACAACGTTATATCTAATTTATACCAAGTTTGTTCTATCATATAACAAGTTAGTTCTAATTTTAACCACATTAGTTCTAATTTATCCCAAGTTAGTTCTAATATACCAAGTTAGTTCTATTTTATAACAAGTTAGTTCTAATTATACCAACTTAGTTCTATTTTATAACAAGTTAGTTCTAATTTATACCAAGTTAGTTCTATCTTATAACAAGTTAGTTGTTCTATTTTATAACAAGTTAGTTCTAATTTATACCAAGTTAGTTCTATCTTATAACAAGTTAGTTCTAATTTTAACCACATTAGTTCTAATTTATCCCAAGTTAGTTCTAATTTATACCAAGTTAGTTCTATCTTATAACAAGTTAGTTCTAATTTTAACCACATTAGTTCTAATTTATTCCAAGTTAGTTCTAATTTATACCAAGTTAGTTCTATTTTATAACAAGTTAGTTCTAATTTTAACCAATATTTACGTTAGAACTAACGCATTAAATAAATTAGAACTAACACGAGCTGGTAAAAATTAGAACTAACACGAGCTGGTAAAAATTAGAACTAACATGAGCTTCGATAGAACAAACATGAGTTCTCTAGTTATTTATGCCCTTTTTTAAACTCTATCATGAGCTAACTCATGTTAGTTCTAACTTATTTTATGTTAGTTCTAATGACAAGTAAGAGCTAACTTTTAGTGGAACTAACATTAACACTTTGGCTACTTGGTCAAGTGGTAAAGCTTGGGAATTTGGAGAGGAGGTCAGGAGTTCAAACCCTTGCAACTACAATATATATCTAAAGGTCTTTGATTGGGCCTTGGGACTCTTGGGCTCTTTGTTAGTTCTAACTAATTTTATGTTGGTTCTAACTTGCTCTTTGTTAGTTCTAACCCACTTAAAGTTAATTCTAACTTGCTCTCTGTTAGTTCTAACTTGCTCTTTGTTAGTTCTAACTCACTTAAAGTTATTTCTAACATGCTCTTTGTTAATTCTAACTTGCTCTTTGTTAGTTCTAACTCACTTCATGTTAGTTCTAGTTCTAATTCATGTTAGTTTTAACTCGTTCTTTGTCTAACCCACTGCATGTTAGTTCTAGTTCTAATTCATGTTAGTTCTAACCCACTGCATGTTAGTTCTAGTTCTAATTCATGTTAGTTTTAGGCTCTTGTGCTCTTTGTTAGTTCTAACTCATTTTATGTTGATTGTAACTCACTTCATGTTAGTTTTAGTTCTAATTCATGTAGTTACTTTCACCAACATAAAATCTATAGACAATTGGGAGTACACAAGCTCATACCTGATGTAGTTACTTTCACCATCATTCTCAAGGGAATGGCTGTGCAAGAATGTTGAAGGAAGCAGCAATAATTTTCTTTCAAATACTAAAAAGGGGATTTATGCCAGATGCCGTAGCATACTGTAGTTTGGTCGATTGCTTGTGCAAGCATGGCAATCTAATTGCTGGGTTTAAACATTAAGAATGATTCTTAAAAATGGTGTTCATCCTGATATTGTTGTTTATAATGTTCTCATAAAGAAGGTAGAACGGACAGAACTAACATGGCAGCGAACATAACTAACGTAAGAGATAACAGAACTACCATGAAAACGGGTAGAACTAACGTAAGAGATGACAGAACTAACATGAAAGCTGGTAGAACTAACAGTCCAGTCCTCAGAACTAACAGTCCAGTCTTTAGAACTAACAGTTCAGCTCTTAGAACTAACATTCCAACCCTTAGAACTAACAGTTCAGCCCTTAGAACTAACATTCATAGTTCTAATTTTCCTTGTCCCCCTCTTTCAAATTCACAGGTTCTTAGATTCTTTAGTCGACTTTTAATCATATTATCTTCAATTTTTAGCTAAATGTCGATATGCCTGAAGATTCAATGTGAGCTTTTGAAAATTTCTGCTGCTAATCTCTTATACAGAACTCTGTCAATCACCAAATCACACAAGAAAAAAGCATTAAAGGAAAACCCAAACCGTTGTTCAAGAATCCAAGGAGACCCCATTTCAATTAAATGAAAGAGAAAAACTACAAAAACCCAATATTGATTCCCTTCATAAATTACAAGAAAACAAGAGCACTATCTTGATTAAAATATTGATTTGGCTAAAGATATTCCGTGATTTGGCTAAAGATATTCCGTAATTTAGAAAGGGGGGAACAACGATGCATCAGACCAAAGCTCTGGGCTTCGTCAGCTCGCGGGTCCTACCGGACCATGTTCCGTGTTTGTCGTTGAACCTGCGTTCACGAGCTGTTTCTAAGATGACTCCCCGACCTCCGACTCCATGACCACTGTCCTCGCCCTCGCCTTCCACGACCTCCCCAGGGTCTGATCATTTTCAGTGGTCATGACGGAAGTGAGAGAGAAGGAGAAGTTGAGAGATAGAGGAGAAAGAGAGTCATTTTCAGTGGTCATGACGGAAGTGAGAGAGAAGGAGAAGTTGAGAGATAGAGGAGAAAGAGAGAGAGAGAGAGAGAGAGAGAGAGAGAGATGGGATGTGGTTAAAGGGATGGGTGCAGTCACCAAGCTCAATCAAATCAAATGGTAAATTTGTAACTTTTGTTGGGCTTTTCTCAAGATCCGATACTTTGGGGCCTTAACATAAATACAATGTGTATTTGGGGCTTATACACGTGGGTCAGAATACAAGGGGGCGTGTCCACATGAACTTTCTACTTTTGGTGGCCTCGGACAACATTTTTCCCATATAATATTATATAATATATATATATATATATATATATATATATATATATACTATATATATTATCATATATATATATTATATATATAATTAAATATGGTTCACATGTGGATTTTTCACGAACGT